AGTGAACAAGCATAAAACTTTCCAAATGAATGGCTGCTAAGTTTCAGTGTTCGAATAAGCTGGTGATTCGTGAAAGAACTCGTGTGAAGTGATACCAGTATCAATGTAAAGAAGTTCTTGTCGTTGTGTTGCGTTCGGATGATCCTTTTTATGATTTCTGGGTGTCGACGAATAAACGATAAAACATGATTCATTCACTCATCGGCGAAACCAGGTTTGCTGACGAGTTTATCAATAACCGTTTTGATATTTGCTCACTGAATCACTTGTTGAGCATTGTCAACGATTCACTTAGATCTTCTATGTATCTGTTTGATTGGTTATCATCAGAAGCAGGCTTGAAATTGTAGGCTTGAAGTTTCGATTCAGCTGAACTTTTGTATTTGCGATAGTAAGCAATAAAGTGCTTCAGCACTTTAGGGGCATTAATTGCACGTTTTTTGTCTGCATTAATTTGGTCTGCATCTGATGTCTGCATAATTGCACTTCGTTTGTTTATTTGCATTCCAGTTATCGGAGCAGTAATTTAATTTTCATTGCATTCACCTGAACGCTTGTCTTACACTCTCGGATGGGTACTGTCTTGATGATAGCTGATATGAGTTGCATGACAGCTATTAGAAATGCGTCAGCTGTTACACATTTGTGAATGATACTCGCAAATTAATTGTTCCAGAGAACCATTCGATTTCCTTCCTTTCTAAAGTTTCTTTTAAAAACGTGCAACAATCTGCATCGATTGACGCTTTTCATCATTAACATAGTTTGAAGTTTGTGTTCTATCCGAGTTTCGTTTCAGTTCTTTGTTCTATTCTCCATTTGATAAATAATTCCTAGACGATAATTCGCAACGATGAACTATCAACCTGCGTAAACTAGCCTAATTGCCTACTAATCAATTCATATTTCGCCTTTTTGTGCTCTCAAAACTTGAGTCTACAGGAAACATTTGCTCCTCCAAATAGCCAAAAAAACGTGATGTTGGACGGATCGTATCTTTTATATTATCTAATATCTTTTACGTTATGCAATTGTTCGAAAGGTGTACCGTGGCCTTAAGTAATCCTAAAAAAACTGCTGAATATCTCCTTCACACTGGAAGTATTCTGTCACGAGGACTCCAAACGGTGGCCATGAGTGTGAAGGACTCAACTCGGAGTGACTTTCACTTGCGATTCACAAACTATGTAGGAAGCAGTTATCCCCTCTGTCAATGTCGTCACTCCGCTCATCATTTTTGATCTGCCGTCAGCTGGCAATTGATAACTCATTCAGTCGAACAATAGGTTTTTTTTTCTTGAAATGGGTTGATGCGAGTTTTTTCCATGAAAAAAAGTGTTTGACGTAAAAATCTCAATTTGTTGCTGGGATATGAATTACAGGTGACATGTTCTCAACCAGCTCATGGATGCTACTCCCTACCGATAAATCATGCTCTTCGGTTATGTGAACAATTGCGAATGTACTCTAGGAAACGATTGCATTTCAGGATGTTCTGGAATCACTTTATAATTAAATACGCTGAATGGAGACTACAACACCTGTTGCTGCTCATCATTCTCATACTGTACAGCCTCGTCGGAGCAGTATCATTCGTCGCATTCGAACAGTCCAATGAATTGGCTAATCGTGCGAAAGATGAAGCCGATAAACTTCGAAGAAGTGAGATGGCAAAGTCAAAACTATTCAAAGATTTACGTGTACGTTCGCTTCCGTATTGCATTAACACATACAAATACAAAAAAGANATCACTTTCTTCAGCGATATCAACGCATTTTCTACGGACCGAGATCATCGATGACATTCAAAAGTCTTCATTCAATTATTGAAAATTACGATCAAGAAATGCAATTCCACGATGGCACAGATCGGCCAATACGATGGACGTTATGGGGTGGACTTTATTATGCTGGCACTATATACACTACAATTGGTAGGAGAGTTCTTTAGTAATTTTCTGGATTTAGATGGTCCTTCAAGTTATCCCTCAACTCTTTTCCAACACAGATATTAGAAGTTTTGAGAAAATATGATCGATCTATCGTAACATTGCGTTAAAATTTTCATCGCTGCTTGAACTCAAAATGATTGATGAGACAATTCGCAATCAGTAAGAAATAATCTGCGTAAGCGGTTCAGAAAATTATTTGGTATCATTTGAAAACAATAGCTTGTCAATCAAATAGCGTTTTTAAAGAGATAGCAACTGAGCCACGAAATTCCTACCGTTACATTCTTCATCCAAGTATATGTGCTGATGATGTGTGAATTGTCTGTGCGAGGCGATTAAAAACGGCTTTTCTATTGTGAAAGGCATTCAATCATTCATATGATGACCTCATAGAGTACACATGCGTTAGTCAACATCAACCCTTCAGGATATGGCGATATGGCAACTGAGACAACCGGCGGCCGCATATTCACAATGTTCTATGCGGCTGCTGGCATTCCCTTAGTGATTACAATTCTGAACGATTGGGGCTCGGTGTTGTTTCATGCAATGCAGCTGTTGTGGAAAGCACACTTGCATCGCGCAGTCAACAAAACCATTTATTGGTTCCGTTTGTGGAAACACAAAATGGGTTTTCAAGAAAAACGCCCGAAGCGTTCAACAAGTGAGCAGAAATTGGTACGATCATTGGCTATTCTATTAAAGTGCGAACGGAGCATCGCCGCAAGTTCACTCGTCTCTTTCACTGAATTTCGGTTTCAGCTGGATTGCGACAGCCAGAGCGATGGCGCAGAAGACTCAATACCAATGGCTGCAGTGGTTGTGCTACTTATGTTTTGGGTTATGGTATGCGCTATAGTGTTCTGCTTCTTCGAGAGTTGGTCCCTATTCGAATCCATATATTTCTTCGTCGTCTCACTAACCACGATCGGTTTGTAACCCCACATTTATAGCTCCTTATCATTCCTTGAATTGTTCAACGAATTGACAGTGAGAATGTACTGACAGCAAAGGACGAAAAATTAGGTGTGGACAAATTTTGAGTGAATCATTCCTTGCAATCGTGTTGTTTCGAAGCTATGAATAACCGGCGAGTAGCTTTCCAGAGAAACGCTTGAAGAGTATTTGGCACTAATGACGCATTTGTTGCATAAATCATTGATTCCGACTAGGCGTTTCTGTGAAGAATAATGGGTGAGAGATGGCGACAGTGTTTCAGGTTTCGGCGATCTGACCCCAAACCATCGAGTAGCCGTAGCCAATTTCCTTCTCATTCTCATGGGACTATCCGTTGTGTCGATGTCGATTAACGTTGTTCAAATGCAACTGGAATCGATGTTCTCAAAAATCATGCACTCTATCGATCGTGATTTCAAAAAGAAATTATTGGGTTCGTTTAAACTGCTCGAAATTCCGCTGAAACAGACCCGAGAAGTGACGAATTTCTTGGAAACGAATCGTTCAAACCGTTCTGCTCTACTTGAGTGATCGAACTCAAACATTTCTATCATTTTGCAACTTAGCTGGCCGATGTTGATTTTCGCTTTTCTTCTGTTATTTCAAAGGATGTTGTGCACGTGAAGCATTTTGCAGCAGAACTCAAAGCTGTAAGAGCTCACTCTTCATAAGCTACGACTTATTTCATTGATCAGGCATATACATCAACATTACATATGTGTGTACTATTCTCGAATTTCTTTTTTTTTTGCGAATGAAAAATACTCAGCACACAAGCAAGGCCGTTGTACTCAAAGAATTCGAGCATTCATTGTGTTCAATCTCAGCACAGCTCAACGAAAGATCACGACTAAAAAAATTGAAGGGTTCATTACAATGGGTAATTCATGATTGCTGTTTACAGATCAGAGTGCAGCAAAGGAAACGCCTGATGAGACGACTGTTGAAGGAAAACTAAAAACTGATGAAGACGTTGAAAAAGGTTTGTTCAGCACATTGAAGTTTGAGAGTCGAATTGGGGTGTTTTGTCCATGTCGGCGCGGGATGTGTTTCGTTGGCTGTATCTCAAGAATATACAAGCCCGGCGGCTTTTACGCTGCTCTTCAGCAATCACAGCTAGCCTATGCAAGAATATTGGCAATCGTAACGCTTCACTTTTTTTCTGAGTTTTACATAGTCATCGGGCGAATGGATATCGATGAGGAGTTATTCTTCAAGCCGTTATTTTTGGCAGGTAATTTGAACTTGATCATTTCACACCTGATTTTAGGCGTTCAGGGCAAGGTTGAAGAAAAGGACTTTATAAGTGATTACAAGCAAAAGAACATCCACGGCACGGATCGCTTGCTTATGATCTTCATGAGCAAACATCAGTGAGTGAGGATATTACAGATTGCCTTAATATCACTATTATTCTCATTTAAAACTTTTGAGTTCACCGCTTATGATTGCTTCACTGATTACACGACTCGTTTGTGAAGAGCCAGCAGCCGAATAAGGCGCAACTCATTGAGGTTTGCCTGCGAAAGTGGTCGATCGCAAAAACACACTCTGATCAACAAATGAAATTGTCAGTATTTTGATCCGAAGTGGAAACTTTGTCAGAAAAGTTTGAAATCGTTTTTCCTGTATGTTTCAACACAATTAGAAAAGTTAGATCAGGTTCAAACGTGAACAGGTTTAATTATATGCCGGAATCTATTATACAGTGCGATAGATTCAGTTGATCGCGTTGCAAGTCATTTGTCGATCTGTGTGCATTTTCTGGGAATGCAAGTGTGAATTTTGATTACTTATGTGATGTTGTATTTGACTGAAGGAAGAAGTTGTTGAACGATCGCTACGAGGCGAGGGCAAGGATGCGTAACGGAGACTGTCAAACAAGATGGGATCGTGAAACCGAGGAAGTTCAAACGGATAAAGTTAAGCAATTGGATGAACTGAAAACGTTGAAACCATTGCAAGAAGAAGATGCGCGTAGTTCTCCAGAGAAATTCTACATTTACAATACCGGCGAATGATAGATATCTTCACGATGTTTCCCATCCATATACATATTCACTCAAGCACTGTGATTGTACCAACCGTGGTTCACTTCAGTTCCCCTCGTTACGTGTACCTTCGATAAAGTTGAATTTCTACCACATTCATAGCAGCTTTGTTGTCATAACAGTTTACATTCCAGAATTTCTTTACTTGCATCAGTTGATACGATGCTGATGAAACGGCTTTCTTCCTTGATTCAGATTTTGTGCTGAAATATTACCGGTAAATTACCAGCCTTCAACATCCTTTTTAAAGCTGTTGCAAAACTCAGTCGCTAAGCTAAAGGATATTGTGGAGTGTTCACTTCAACACCTTTTATGCCTGTAACAAAGTTGTGACCCTCATTGTGCGCAAAATGAATACTTCTAATTTTGATGGGGATGGAGCTCTATTACTTCATTACATTAAAATGGCAACCGTTATTCGGCCACTGATATTATTCGTTACCAGTGTTCGGCTTTGTTGTCACATGCGCGAAAGCGATGTTTGGTTATAGATGAATTCAGATACGCAGGATTAAATGAATAACAAATGTAAGAGCCGGTTTTTGATAACTAGTTTCACGCAAACGCATAAGTTAAACCCATCAAACATTTGAGGCCACATTTCTGAACAATCCGATAGGGCCGTCAGGCACCACCCTATAATTATGTTTTCAAAGAACTGTCAAAATTCACTTTCGTTATACGCTGTACGCTGAACGAAGGAATGCCGTTTATTGCGTTACCTCGTATGGTATTTTTCTCATTTCATCAGGAGGCACTGTTAGAGAAC